CTAGAATAGATTTCTTATAAATTTATTATAAAACTTATATGTTATAAACCTGTCAAAATTTATTAAGAAATGGCTTTATAGTTTCACTTTTTGGGTTTGGTTGATTAGTTTTAAGGACAATAATGCAATGTTGAAAGGTTAAATGTCGTCACTGTAGGTGTGGCGGATATAATAAACACCACCATCATACATCATGTTACCAGCTTTACTATTTACTTTTGGATATATTTCCTCTTAAAGTAAAAAAATAACAATAATTTAATATTCCAGGTAGCAAGCATGAGAATTGTAAAATACTGAAAGGGAAGAAAGTCATGGTGAACCTAATTACTCCTCATCAATACCACTCTTGCAGCATAATCTGACAGCTGGACTGCTTCTTTGATGTCATCCCCTATTTTGTGTCTTTTCCTCACTTACTCATGTTATGGAGGCTTCTCTAGCCCATTTAATCTTGCAAAGATTCAGCTAGCCATAGCCATAGGCAAATGTGAGTCTTTCAACAAGGGTTTCACAACACAAGCCTGTTTAAATCCTGACTAATCAATGTAATCAAATCATCAGACGGTTGCTTCCAAGTCTTGGCTATTGTGAATAACGCTGCAATGAACACAGGGGTGCATGTACCTTTACAAATTGGTGTTTTCAAGTTCTTTGGATAAATACCCAGCAGTGGAATATAAACCAATGTTACTGCAATAAACAAAAAATTAAAAAAAAAAAACAAAAAACATCAGACGGAATACAGCCATGAACTAGACCTTTATAGAGGTTCTCCAAGCCTCTTCCTCAAGTCTGATCATGTCTTCACTTTCTACAATGCTGTACATTTCCCTATTCTATAGAACCCTGAACTAGGAATCAGTAAAAATTAGTTCTAATCCCAGCTGTACTACTTGTAAACTAAGAGCACATTAGCATGATATTTAAACTTCTATAAATTCATTATCTTAAAATATGATGCCAATAATGTCCTATGAATTTTGGGATCTTACACATATTTTTAATAGGTTTCCTGAGATCCAGAATTGGGACTAGGTTTCGGTAGTTCTTTTGTCTAGCAGGTCATGGTCATTCATTTGTTCAATGAACATTTGTTATTCACTTATCCTAGGACTTGAGGATAAAAAAATAAGACTATCTTAAAGTCTCTCAGTCTACCAAGGAAGGCTTCATACTGAGGAATACAGTCATGAGTCGTGTAACAACATTTTAGTCAACTCAGTGTATCACCATCGTTAAGTGATGCATAACTGTATATGTTTTAATGTTATAGCAGAATTATGTATACAGTAATTCTCTAACACAGAGGAAAGCTGCCATTTAATTAAGCCCCAAGGTGTTTAAAATACTCCTTAGGTTTTTCATATATTTTAATATCTGAACTTGGGTACTTTTGAGAGTGAAAGGTGGCACTATTGATACTTACTCCAGGACAGTAGGCAAAAAACAAAACTGCCTTGAGCAAGAGGGACAACTGGCCGTGGTAACAATATCTTACTCAGCTGTGACAGCAACTCTATGTTGTAGGTGTTATTGGTACCACTTGACGGATGAGAAAACCCTGGATGGTGAGTCCAGGAATGATTTATAGATGAAGTGATGATTGATTTGTGACATAAAACAGAAGTTTGTGCTTTCTAGGTGAGTTAGTGGTGTTTGAAGCATAGGACTAGTATAAGCAAGAGTATACAAAGGGAGAAATTTCATGGTGTACTTGAGTTCAATGGGACTTGAACTTCTGGGAGGTGGGATATGGAAGGGAACGGCTAGGATAAAGCTGACAATGTAGAATTTCAGATGTCGTCTGTGGGTGCCATTCATAGTGTTGATTTCATTATGGGCTCCTATTCCAGTCTCCTAGAACCAGGTCTGGTGAAGGGGCTTATTAGTCTCATTAACACTTATTCTAACATAGTTAGGCACACAGACACCAACACAGCTGCTTCCAGAGTACGTCATGTGGCTGCACATTTCTGTAGTGCATGTAGCTGTTTGAAACAGTCTAGCCAACAAACATTTCATCCCACTCCTTTCTTTTCATAAGCATTCCTTAGACGTCCATTATGAGTTCACTATTGCAATGGGAGAAATCCAGATACATCTTACATAGTGTCTGCCTTTAAAGCATTTACACACGTATGTGCATGACTGTAATGTCCACACATACAGCCATAAAAAAGCTATAAATTAAAGGATGTTGCTGTTCAGAAGAGTGTTTTTTTTACCACTCCAGTAGCCCAATGAGGGCTTTTTAAGGTGTGGTACTTAAGCTGATCCTTGAAGGAAGAGAAGAGTTTGGATATTCTGAGACATGGAGTTAAGAATATCAAAGAATCAGAGAGTAGAGAAAGGAGAGAATTGGGAAGGATACAGAGGTAGAAAAATGTGAAAGTCATTCAAGAAATAGTTTTACAAAAGAATATGTTGCACAACGAGAGCAGGGAGAAATAATATCAGAGAGGTGGTTTAAGTAAGAGGAGGGCCTGGAATGCTAAGGAAAGGACTTTGGCAATTTTATAGCTCCTGAGTTAGGGAAGAGGCGTAGCTATGGGATAGATAAGGAAGCTTAGACCCTAATTATTCCAGCTATCTTCTCTAAAGCAGAGATTAAAACCAGGGACTTAAGTTTAAATTCTTCCCCTAGGAGAAGACCAGTCACAAGGCTAAATGTATGAGTTTTGTCCAAGCCCCATCAAGAAAAGCACACCATCAAAAACCTGCTTGAAGAAGCCAGAGTCTACTCAGATTTCCCAGTCTAAGGGCTATGGTTCTCCACTGGTTTCCCCAAAGGTTGCACTGCTAATGGATATGTGACTGGATTTCAGGGAGCAAAAAGGAATCTTCTCTAGAATCCATAAACGATAAACTCCCTACGCCCCAAGCAATAAACTCATGTGTCCCTAAATTGGTGCCAGATCTCAAGCTACATTCCAGCTTCACCATCAAACCTTTCCATCAAAGCAGTCAAAATGGCCCATGGACACGGCCCATGGTTCCAGCCTCTTTGCCTTTGTTAACTATGTTTTCTCCTTCTGCGATTCCCTACTACATTTGCTTTCCTCTTTAATTTCTGAGCTGTGCTTCAAACCCAACTCAGTTGCCCCCTCCTTCATAAAGATATCCTAATCACCCAAGACGAAGTGCTGTCTTTCTAGTGTGAGCTTCCACAGCACTTTGACTGCAAGTTTTTTTTTGCGTTTATTCATTTTTTTTTTCCCTGTGAATCGAGGTATTTGCATTTTATCTTATCTTCTTATGGATATAAATTGCATGAGGTCAGGACATACATACATCTATATTTATCTATCTGTCTTTCTATCTTCCTTTAAAATCACATCGTCCACCAAGTCTTAAGCACAGATTGTTTAAAAAAAATCTCGCCTGAGATTATATAGCTTAACCAGGGAGGAAGCATAATTGAATCTCAGCTTTATCTCACTCTGATATATCCCTTCTTAGCCACTTCTGCATCAATTTTTGCCTTTCATAGCCCCTAGTACAGTGATTACCAACTCTTTTTTGATTTAAGACAACACCAACCCATGTGATTGTTGCAGTCTATTATAGAAAACGTGATTGACATATGTATCTTTGTTATGATTTTACTACTGGACAAAGTTTTAATGTATGAAAGAGAATTCAGGTTTTTTGAAACAGAAGGCATTTATTTATCACTTAAACTAATTGGATAGATAAGGTATAAATAATAGTTCTTGGGCCCGCCTGGTGGCATAGTTGTTAAGTTCAGCACACTCCACTTTGGTGACCCAGGTCCACAGGTTTGGATCCTGGGTGGGGACCTACATCATTCATCAAGCCATGTTATGGCGGTGACCCACTTACAACACAGAGGAAGATTGGCACAGATGTTAGCTCAGGGTCAATCTTCCTCAAGCAAAAAAGAGGAAGATTGGCAACACATGTTAGGTCAGGGCCGATCTTCCTCACCAAAAGAACAAGAAATAATAAAAATAAAAATAATAGTTCTTTTTTTATTGATGAAGAGATTGAAGTATAGAGATATTAAAGCATTTATCTGAGAGAATTATTGGCGAGAGTAGGACTAAGACCAAGGTCATCCAACTTCTATCCATTTTTCTGTTGCCATTATAAGTTGATATGCATGCTCTACCACCAACTACATGGAAAAAAATTAATTCCCTCACTTTATTGCATCACATTGATAGCATAATTCTGGATAGTTAAGATAGAAATGAAGGAAAAATAAAAGCAAATAATGTTTATTAAGTATTTTTATTTGACATTCTTTACATAGATTACAGCATATCCTTTGAAAAATACTAAAAGATAAGCATTGTCATCCCCACTTAGTAGATGAAGAAACTGAGGCTTATAGAGATCAAGTAAGTTGCCCAAGATCACATCGCTAGAAAATAGCAGAGCCTAGATGAGGGCATATTACTAAATAGTCCAAAGCCTGAATGTTTGTCATTAATCAAAATGGAAAGTGTAAACCTTGGATCAGTTTTTTGATTCTATCACTTAATTTTGACAAGTTTGTTTACCTGTCTGAGCTTTACTTTTACTAGCTTTAAAATGAGGATAATGCCTATCTCTAATAATTGTTGTAAGCATTTAATGCAATTTAGAGTGCTTTGTGTATTAACTAGATACAACAATCAATTAAAAAAGAGAAAAGGTAGTCCTTTAGCAACACTGTCACTGATTAGAGATGTAAAAATGAGATTCAAAGATCTTCCTGGTTCTAAAGCAACTGATCTTTCAATTATAACAGATACTTATAACATATACTTGCTCTCATGTCTTTCAAAAACATTAATTTTTATTTCCTTCAGATCATAGAGTTAAAGTTTACAGAAAACTCTTTAGGGATTAAGATTCACTCAGCAAATAGATGATAATTTGGGTAGTGTTCACTGGAAAGTTATTTGCATTTCCTATCTCCTGCCACAATCCTTCTACAGCTATCATTTACCTATGATGACATGGTGATGACATAATTTCATTTTTTGTCGTCATTGAGGTTTTCTTCCAATTAGTTTTTTGAAAGCAGCTTTCACATCCTTGTTCCGTAAACAGTAGATCAAGGGATTCAACATGGGGATGATAATCATGTAGAACACAGAGGCCCACTTGTCTTGGTCCAGGGAGTAGCTGGATGTTGGCCGCAGGTACATAAACATGACTGTGCCATAGAAAAGTGTGACGCCAGTGAGGTGAGACCCACAGGTGGAGAAAGCCTTAAGGCGGCCTTCAGCTGAGCTCATTCTGATGATTGCAATGAGGATGAAGGCATAGGAGATGAATATGATGAGGATGGTGCTGAATTCAATGAAGCCACATAGACTAAAGAGCAAGATCTCACTGATGTGGGTGTCTGAGCAGGAGAGGGCCAAGAGTGGTGGGATTTCACAGAAGAAGTGGTTGATGATATTGGAACCACAGTAACTCAAACTGAAGGTGAGGGAAGTGTGGGCAACTAAACTCACCAGACCAGCCAGGTAAGACCCCAACATGAGAGCCAAGCAGACTCGCTTGGACATGAGAGTGCTATAGTGGAGGGGTCGACAGATGGCCACAAAACGGTCATAGGCCATGGCAGCCAGAACATAGCACTCAGCATCCACAAAACCCACGAAGAAAGCAAACTGGGTGGCACAACTGGCGAATGAGATAACTTTGTGTTTTGTTAGGAAGTCAGCCAGCATCCTGGGTGCAGTGGCTGAGGAGTATCCCACGTCTACAAAGGAGAGGTTGCAGAGGAAAAAATACATGGGTGTGTGAAGCTGAGTGTCTGTTATGATTAGCATAATCATACCAACATTCCCCACTACATTGATCAGGTAGACCAAGAGGAAGACCACGAAGAAGATGACCTGCATCTGAGGGTCCTGAGTGATGCCAATAAAGATAAACTCAGTCACCATTGAGTGGTTTTCTTCATAGATCTCTTCAATTTTTTGTGTGCCTGGACTCAGTGCATTATTTGGGGTGATTCTTAAAAATCTTCCCAGTAATTAGATTCTGTGACCCCTAAGATAACTCAAATGGCTTTGGTGAAGGTGATGGTCCTGTCTCCTCTTCAGATGCCCAGTAAAAATAGGAGAAAGTGTTAGTGTCTTAGGGATGGCAAATTCTGTTTCTCCAAAGACCTTGGTGCTCTGAGGTCATTTATCACATGGTACCAAATGTTTGACCTGATCTGTGCAATTATCTGTCTTATTAATTAGCAAAGAAGAGCAGTTTTGAGTGTCCCTTCCTTTTTTCTAAAACAAAGCAAATATGAAAGCAGATAGTGAATAAACATGAGCTCTCAGTGTAGGTAGACACAAAAAGAAAAATGAAAGACTCAGGGATCTCAAAGTATAACACATCATGCACACACGCATACAGAAAGGGAAATACTTGGAGCAGAGGGTGAGCAATATTAGAAAAGGAAATGGATAGTAATAATTTTTAAAAAGCCAGGCATTACTGAGTGTTAACTATATGCCTGACAGTTGAGTGCTTTGCACACATTACATAATTTCATCCTCACAGCAACTCTGTGAAGTAGGTACCACCATTATCTCCATCTCATATCTGAAAAGAAGACTAGATATTAAGTAACTTCAGCAAAGTCAACAGCCAGTGAGTAGCAGAACCGGGTCTGTCTGGCTCTAGAGTCCACTTCACTTTATTGTCTTCTATGTATATGTGACTTGATGGAGGTTCGATTTCTTTATTTTTGTGCCTGCCTTTCTTTTTCCTGTCTTGCCTATCTTACATGGATGCAGAATTAGTTTTCTGGTTTCCCTGATCTTTGGAAGCACCCAGAAGTTTGGCATGGGACATGATCAGGGTGAAGACACAGCTGTGTCTTTGGATAATTCTATTGTCTAGCCAACAGATTGCTGTACAGCTCAGTTCAGAGTTAATATTCAAGCATCCCTCACTCAAGGGGAATAGAGAGAGCATTATCCAACTCCGTGGTCACACAGGAGCATGCATTTGTTCAACTTTTTTCTCTTTGCTTGGATAAATATCTGGTCCATTGAAGAATTCTAAGAAGGAAGGAGGCAAAATTAAACCAAAATAAAACACAAAGTAATTTAGAAATAAGTAGCATCCTCTACCTAAACCTGAAGTGAGAACTCAGGCTGTATGTACTTTGTTTTTTGCTTAAGAAAGACAGGAAAGCAGAGAGTAGAATGTGTCTTTCATGGGGGTGTGGACATTCACAATAAGTTGTCTTAAATCCTGGGGTGGTTGACAATAGTGCCTCCATCTCTCAATTTCTGCACAGAATATAATCAACTGCAGCAAAGAAGGGGATCTAATAATGAATAATCAACACTATCTATCTGCCCAAGAATTTATAGTTTATAAAGTACTTATATCTACTCCCATTCAACTCATTCTTAGTATGTTGTGAGTGTGTTCACCATTTCATACATTAGATCAATCAGGAAACAGAGAATGAAAAGACAAATCTTGGAGAAATTATTTTAAAAATATATTTCTCATAAAGAAATTGTACCCACAATATATAAAGAAATTCAAAACTCATTAATAAGAAAACAAGCCAAAAACAATGGGCCAAAGATTTGAACAACACTTTAGCAAAGAAAATATCTGACTAGCAAATAAATGCATGAAAAATGCTCAAATTGTTTGTATTACGGACATACAAATTAAAATCACAGTGAGATGTCACTAGGAATCTGTTAGAATGGTTAAAATTTAAAAAGATGGACCACACTAAGTGTTGTTAGGGAAGTAGAGGAACTGGAACTTTCATCACTGTTGGTGGGAATGTAAAACAGTACAACCATTTTGGAAAACATTTTGGCAGTAGAAAATTAAACCTACACATGTCTACCCTATGATTCAACCATTCTGAAAAAACCTGGGAACAATACAAAGGCCCATCCACAGGTGATGGGATAAACAAATTATAGTATGTCCATAAAATCGAATACTACTCTGCAATTAAAAGGAATAAACTATTGACACATTCAACACGATGAATGAATCTCAAAATAATTAGTCTGAGAGAAAACAGCCAGATAAAAAAGTATACCTCATATGATTCCATTTATAAAAATCTAGAAAATGTGAGCTAATCAATAGTGACAGATAGTAGATCAATGATCACCTGGGTAGAGGAGTGTGTGCGGTGGAGCAGGAGGGAAAAATTACCAAGGGGCACAAGAAAACTTTTGGCGATGATGGGTTGATTGAGATGATGGTTTCATACATATATTAAATCATATCAAATGTTATACTTTATATTTATTTAATTTATTGTATGTCAGTTATACCTCAACAAAGCTGTTAAAAAAGAACAAACTATTTTCCCTACCCCAGTTCAGCTCATTCTCACTACATGTGAATGAATATGTAACTTCATAGATTATTTTAACAAGGAAACAAAAACCTTGGCTGAGGGGACTTACAAAGTCACACAGTTAGTTATTTTGTTGGTTAGTTGCAGAATCAGCAATTGAATCTGGGACTGCCAATTTCATATATAGTGCTGTGTTGTTTTTTCCCCCCACTTCTTCACATAGGAATTTAAAAACAGTTCACCGTGAAAAAAGAAAAAACAAAAGATCTACCATAATCCTTCCATTTCTCATCTGTTCTTCCACTTTAGCGAGAGAGTAAATAATCCTATTGTTGACACTGGAGGGAGTCGTTTAGTCCAATCTCATAGTTTTATAGATGAGGAAATAGACCCAGACACCAAGTTTGAAAATGCAGAGGTGATACTTAGAGGAAAATGAGACGCCTGGTAAGAACACAGCACAGGGAGCCAGGACGGAGCCACAGCTGGGTATGTGCTGACCAATTCATCGCGCCCGGTTAGAATATGTGATTAGAAAATCATTCTCTCCTCCCTCACAGATTCAAGCTTCCAGTTAAATGATGAACGATATGAGAGGTGCTTCATCAATCTTAAAGCACCCTGCCTGTTATCTCTTATAACGTGCAGACAAATCCAGGATTTGTCACTTACTGCTATTGATTTCTAGCACACTACTTGTCTTCTTGGAATCAGTTTTTCCTTTGTTGAATGAGATTGATGCCTACCTTAATAACTTTCAACAAAAAATTGGTTAGAATATATATATGCATATACAAATATATATATATACACACATACATAGTGCTGAATTCAGTGACTGTGATGTGCTAAGTGCTCAATGCATTTGGCAATTGTATGTGAGTGTAGATGATTTAATTCAGTAGAGGAGAGCACACTCATAACTTCCAGAAAAAAAAGGTTCAATCCTTATTCCACGGGGTGATGAATCACAGACTGCCTTAACCTTTAGGAAAAGTGTGGTTTTAATTCTACAACACTTCTATTAAATGATAAAACAAATAGAGATGAAGGTATAAAATTCAAAATCAAGGCTGATTAAGACAAAAGAAAAGAAAACCTTTATATTTTTCTTTTTAGTCTCATGTAGCTAAAAGTCAGCAGATCTGACTCTTGAAGAAATGGTAGAATAGTGATTACATAAGCATATTCCAGTTAGTAAACTCGAATATTTTTAAAAGACCAGCAAAAGTATTGTCTTATAGAAGCAAATACAGGGCAAATATATTTTAGATTTCTATTTATTACCAGCTTTTGTTTATATGAAAAGAATATTGGAGTAAGAGTGTGGAATCCTGGCTGTAGTTTTGTTATTTGCACTAATTAACTGATGCATTGCTCTATTAGCTGCAGTTTCCTTATCTGCGAAATGAATGGGGTAGAGAATAAAAACTTTTTGGAACTTTCCAATTCTAGTATTTTCTGAATTCAGACTTCTTATGAGATACCTAAAATCCAAACCCATAGTCCATTTCTCCTTTTGAAACTTTAAAATGGCATGGATCTGGTGTCAAGCAAATGCATGCTCAAAGGAGCACTGAGCAGTGTAATGCTCCACTCCCAGTAGGTCACATCTCTTTCTCTTTCTTTCCCAAATACTGACCTGTGACCTGACCTGTTTTCTACCTGTTGGTGAGAGGCTCACTGTCTCCTCTTCTCTTGACGAACTCTACTGAACAGTTATTCTGAGAAGAATCCAGTGACGGTGAACCACTCTGATAGTGGTCTCTGAGCTGCTTGCTCATCCCACCTTTGCTCCCTTGTGCAGGAGGTATTTAAGTCTCAGAGTCACAAGTAATCCTCAGAAGAAATATGATGAAATGCTTTCTGCACTCATAGGAGACCCAAAGATTTGATGAACTGTCATCCCCTGAGGAATTTCACTCTCTGCTCCTTAAGCCTTAATGATAAAAGAAGGAAGCACAGGGGGATTTCCAGTCACTCTGGTCATGATGACTAAATCAACCATAATTGTTGCAGGGACTTTTCTACCAGCCCAAAGCTGCCTTGTTGTTGTCGTCAGTGCCTGGAGTCTGACTCCTAGGGACCGTGTGTACCTCAGAGCACAGAACCTTTCCTGGTCTTTTTCCACCACTATATCAGACAATGCTCCGCTGCTATTCATAGGATTTTCCCAATTTTTTTGGAAGTGGGTGGCCGGGTCCTTCTTCCTAGTCTGTCTAGTCTGGAAGCTCTGCTGAAACCTGTCCACCATGGTGACCCTGCTGATTTTTGAAATACCAGTGGCGTAGCTTTCAGCATCATAGCAACATGCAGCCACCACAGCATGACAACCAACAGATGGGTGGTCTGGTTCCCAGACCTGGAAACGAACCCAGGCTGTGGTGGTGAGAGCACTGAATCTTAACCACTAGACCACCAGGGCTGTCTCAAAGCTGCCTATACGGTGTGATTTTGACTGTAATTTAGAAAGATCTGTTTTCTGATGCCTGAAAGTCCTTTCAAAGAGGCTGATTCTTTCCATGTTACATTTATATATATCTATATAATTATATTTATTTAACTTCCATGTTGTATATACCTATTTAAACTATCTTAATCCAGGGTAAGGGACATGTGTCTGAAATTTAACGTCACCAAACAAATTAATGAGATTTAATCTTTTATGAGACCATAGTTTGGTGAACAGGGAAAGGAAACCAACAATTTTTGAGAAGATTTATTTGCTAGAGACGTTGCAGGGCACTTTCACATGTGTGATCAGTTGAATGTTCTGCTGATAATATTATTGCCTCTGGTTTCAGATGAAGTGAATGACTCACTGATTTAGAGATAAAGTAAGTGAGCGTTATTTAACTTTTCCAGGACCACACAACTTACAAGTGGTCGATTCAGAATGGAAACACTCATCTGTCTGAGCATGGTGTTCACCCTTTTTCTCCTTTGATAAGAACCATGAGAAGACTGCCATTCATAAGGCAAAGATTCCTATTCCAGGAAGAGATCTAGGGTAGCTTACCAAAAAATTTTATTTTCTTATCCCATGTACATATTTGTAAGAAAAATAGGATGAAGGAAAGATAAAATTCAAACATTAAAAATGGGATTAAGTTAGTAAAAAACATGTGTGTTTTACCTTTTTTTAATTTCAAGAGATGGCATGCAACTTTATTTCAGCTTCTCATTGTATAAAGAAAAACAAAAATGGGAAGCTGTAAAATCTTCCTACCTATACAATTTTTTTTAAAAAGCCACTTAATTTGGAAATGTTATATTATTTGAGATAAATTTTCCTCCTCAGAAAAAAAAGAGATTCAAAAATAAAATCAAAGAAGTTAATAAAAAGAATCCTTGTGATACCTTTCTCCATTCCTTCACTTTCAGCCTCTGTGCGTCCGTAAACACAAAGTGGGCTCCTGTAGACAGCATATAGTTGGATCTTGTTTTTTTTCAATCCAGCTACTTTAATTTTATTCTTAAATCTCATTTTACGATGAAGAGTTAATTTCTAATAACATTGACATGTTCTCTGACTTATAATGTTTGTTTTCAAGTCAAACTTTGATTTGAAATAAATATTTTTCTCTCATTTCTCCAGCTGCATAGTAGTCCATTGTGTGGATGAACTGTTGTTTATTTATAAAGTATCCCACTGTTAGACCTTTGAGTTGGTTCTGGTCTTTTGCTATTAGAAGAAAAAAATACAATAATAAATAGCCTAATGCATACGCTTTTTCCTACTTTGACCAGTACATCACCTGAGTGTGTTCCTAGAAGTTGGATTGTTGGGTCAAAGGGAAATTTAATATGCAATTTGCTAAATATTCCAATTTCCCTCCAGCAATGTATAGGAGTTCTTATTTCCCCACAGTCTTTTCAATAAAATTGGTTGTCAACTATTTGTATTTCTCATCTAAATTTATCTACCTATTCTCTCTCTCTATCTCTCTGTATTGGCCAATCTAAAATTCGGAAAGTGTTCTTTGAAGGTAGTCACAATTTGTATTTTTTCTCATTGAGAATAACGTACCAGTTGTAAATTTTTTGTCTCTCAGCTCCAAATCCATCCATCTTTGCCTTACTTTACTGATACTGGACCTGGATACTGTAAACATTTCCCCTTTTGCAGCTGGACAATATTACACTAGTCAGTCGACAACACTGGAAGGACACTGCAGGAGGAAAAGGCTCTCTTTCTGATCCTGGTGTGCTCTTTCTCTGTTGCACGATCACATGTAGTAGCCAGCAGCACATGGCATACCTAGTGGTGCTCACCCTTCATAAAGGTTGACCAGCACTGCCACAAGTAGCTTCTCATCAAGTTCCATCAGCACCCCAGAGGTGGCTTTCTAGCAAGTCTTGCTGGCACCCCAGGGGGTGACTACCCAGTGAGTTTCAGTGGAACCCTGTTGAGTGGTTTCCTGTTTGGCAGACATGGCCAGGGAATGTCTCTGCCGTATAGCAAGCTACAGCCACATCCCTTACAACCACTTCTAAAGGAGCCTGGGAGGTGGGGTCCTCTTCCAAGTGTGCTCTTCCTTGGTGCTCTGCCTCAGCCCCAGAGTTAGTAGCTGCTCCCTGTATTTATTCTTCCTATATACTTTGGACTTTTCTTGATCACTTGATAGTTAATCCCCTGTTGCCAGATAATAAGTCTTTATATTAAATTTTACCTGATAGAATTATTGTGTGGTTTTCTGTCTCCTGACTGGATTCTGACTGATATAAAGGTTGAATATATTTTCATATATTTAAGGGCCATTTGCATTTCTATTTTTGTGAAATGTTTATTCATATTTTGTGTCCATTTTTCCAGTGCATGTTTCTTACATATTTTGGATTTCTTCACAGATCTTTTTCTTATTAATTTTTATATTCTTTATATATTGGAGACATCAGCTGTTGGTCTAGTTTATAAGGTGTAAATTTTCCCCAATTTCTCATTTGTCTTTTGATTTTCCTAAGAAATTTGTTACCATGCAATAGGTTTCTTTTTCTTCTGTCTTTCTTTCTTCCTTTCTTTTTTCTTTCTTCTTTCCTTTTCTTCCTTTCTTTTTTCCCTTTATGTTGTTAAATTTATCAATTTTCAATTTTATTATTTCTCAATTTTGAGTTCTATTTATATTCAAAATTCAGCTGCAATTAAATTTAAAATTGGTGTATTTGATAAGATTAAAAATAACTGTTGTATATATTTTAAATAATGCTTCCAGTTACAAAAGACATCGCCATGTTTTCTTCTAGTACTTGTATGTTTTTTTTTTTTATATTTACAATTATGATTCATTGAAATGTTGATAGTGTCTAGTAAGAGGAAAAGTTCTAGTTTTCTTTTTTCAATAAGACTATCCAATTGTCCCAAAAAAATTTATTTAAAAATGTATCTTTTCTCTAATGTTTTGAAATGCTATTATCATATATTGAATTTTCATTTCATTTCATTGGGTCTATATTTGTGTTTTTAATGCTATTCTCTTGTTCTTTCACCACTTCTATAAAATTCATTCATCAATAATACATTGTTTAATTATAATTATATAAATATTATATATTAATATATATAAATACAGTCATGGCTATAATATTTTTTCTCTTTCACATAAACTTTATAGTCAACTTATTTAAAAAAAAAACAGAGGACGTTATTATTGGAACAACATTAAATTTATAAATTAACTTAGGGACAATTGCCACTTTTATGTCATCTAGTCTTGTTACTGAAGAGCGTGTATGTTTTCATACTTATTCCAATCTACTTTTATATCTTTCTGAGGTTTAACTCCTTTTCTTCACAGAGATTTTGCACATTTCTTATTTGGTTATGTTTAGGTCTTTTATTTTTGGCAATCATAAGCGGGGATCTTCCCTTCCATTTAAATTTTGGAACTGGAGATTTTTTGTTTATATGAGCTTGTTAGGTTAATTTTACATTTTGCTAGTTTACTAAATTTTTTCTGTTTTTATTGGTAGTAATAGTAATGATGTTTTTTTTTTAAATTTTTTGTTTATTGCAGTAACATTGGTTTATAACATTGTATAAATTTCAGGTGTACATCATTATACTTCTATTTCTGCATAGATTACATCATGTTCACCACCCAAATACTAATTACAACCCATCACCACACACATGTGCCGAATTATCCCTTTCGCCCTCCTCCCTCCCCCTTCCCCTCTGGAATCCAATCTCTGTCTCTATGTGTTTGTTTATTGTTGTTATTATCTACTACTTAATGAAGGAAATCATTCGGTATTTGACCTTCTGCCTCTGACTTATTTCGCTTTGCATAATACCCTCAATGTCCATCCATGTTGTCACACATGGCTGGATTTCATCGTTTCTTATGGCTGAGTAGTATTCCATTGTGTGTATATACCACATCTTCTTTATCCATTCGTCCCTTGACGGGCACTTAGGCTGCTTCCAAGTCTTGGCTATTGTGAATAGCGCTGCAATGAACACAGGAGTGCATGTATCTTTACGCATTGGTGTTTTCAAGTTCTTTGTATAAATACCCAGCAGTGGAATAGCTGGGTCATACGGTAGTTCTATGTAGTGATGGTTTTTATGTGTGGTATATTAGAATGTAGCCACATCTTGCACTGGCCAAATAAAGCTTCATTTAAAGTAAAATGAGCCTCCAAAGCCTAACAAGAGAATTCCTTTTCTTAGTTTTTCCAAATGATATAAAATCTATTCGGATGATAGCTAGTAACTGGTATGTAGGTGTCCTCTGGAACAGTGGATCTATACACTTTCAGACCCAAATGATATTTTTTATAG